GTAAACGTGTGTGTTCTTCGCATTTTTCTCGTTCTTTGGCTTTTGGCATTTGCCTTTGACTTCTTCTTCTTCTTCCCCTCTTTGGCATCGGTCTCGATCTCGATATCAGCTGACTTGACGTGTCTTGCTTTGTGTGTGTGTGTGACGACTGATCGCTTGTGCTTGGTACGCTTTCCTGGTTGGGGCCTTGGGGCGACGCCAGAACGTTTTGATTGAAAGCACTGCTGCCATTTTTTTGCTTTCAACTGAAGTTGGCCTCACTGATCTCGCCTCACGTGCGGTTGGGCAACCAAGTCCACCGGTCCTCGCAACCAAGTTATTTGTCTCGAGGTGAGTCGTTTGGTGCATCAGGCAGAGAAGAGCAAAGAGCCCGGTGACCGGCTGCCGTTTTGGAAACGGCGCGCGCCTGTCGGATCCCAGTCCGAATTCTGGGTTGTCAGACGAGTTGTACTTGGAGGGGGCTCATGAGATTGATGGTGGATAGAGAAGCAAGCAAAGCGGTTTGAAGCGGATGGTGAATAGAGAGAGATACCATTGCCATGAGTGCTGATGGAGGGCAGCTGTTCAATGCGTGTTATTCATCAGATCCACAAAAGGCGCTGCAGCTGGTGAGCAGTTGGGACCAACAACGCATTCAAGATGCTGCCCAATGCAAAAGACTTTCAGTACGTATGCTGTTTGGTATGGTGTTGTGTGATATTGGTTACACTTTGAATATGTCACTGGATGGGTGACGTTATGGTATAACATGGGACATATACTGCATGTTTGCATCATCCCACAGCTTGGCTATACACCACTGCACGTTGCCTGCGAGAAGGGTCATGTCAAGGTGGTGGAGATGCTGTTGAAGCACGGTGCTGATGCTGAAGCCAAGGAGATCGTCAGTACAGTACCTCCCTCTTTCCCCCTTGACCCCCCCTATGATGGTACACCCGTACCCCATGATGATGATGATGATGCTGCTGTACCTGTACGTCATGCTGATGCATCATCCCACAGTTTGGCCAAACACCACTGCACAGAGCCTGCTTTAACGGTCATGACAAGGTGGTGGAGATGCTGTTGAAGCACGGTGTTGATGCTGAAGCCCAGAACTACGTCAGTACAGTACCTCCCTCTTCCCCCCTTTACCCCCCTATGATGGTGCACCCGTACCCCATGATGATGATGATGATGATGCTGCTGTACCTGTACGTCATGCTGATGCATCATCCCACAGGATGGCGATACACCACTGCACGTTGCCTGCCGTTACGGTCATGTCAAGGTGGTGGAGATGCTGTTGAAGCACGGTGTTGATACTAAAGCCAAGGACAACGTCAGTACAGTACCTCCCTCTTCCCCCCCTTTACCCCTCTGGCTGCTGCTCCTGCTCCCGCTGCCCCGTTGCCTTTGCCCCCGTCCCTCCTCTCCGCTACACCCTGCCCACCCGTGCGCGTCCGCTCTTCCCCCCTGGCACCTTGTCTTCTTTCCCGCTATCCCTCTTCTTCCCCCGTTTTGCGTCCGCCCGTTGTCGGTGCTCCCCGCGCCCCGCTTGTCTCTTCCGCCTGCCGTTTTCGCTCTCCCCTTTTTCTGATCCATCCCCAACCCCTTGCCATCACGCCTCTGCCTCCCTCGCTCGCTCAAGCGACTTTCGGTGGCCGTGCCTTCACGTTTGCATCCAACACACGCGCGGTTTCTTTCTTTCTTTCTTTTTTTTTTTTCTTTTTTTTTTTCTTTTTTTTTTTCTTTTTTTTTTTTCTTCTCTCCAAGCGCGCCTCCGTTCGAACCCCTGCTACCTGCCCGCACCATTTGCACACCACTCGCGCGTCTGGCGTCTTCAGCACGCTTTGAAGCTTTGTCACCTCGCCTTTGTTATGAGAGAGCAAATGCACGTCGCCCAACTCAACCCTCGCGTCGCTGCCCACCTCACACGCTCCAATCACATGTTCTCAGGATGGCAAAACGCCCCTTGATCTCGGACGTCAATGCGGGCATGGTAACAAGCTGGAGCCCGTGTTTGCTGCTCACGAGGCTCGCCTATCACAACCACCCGCACCACTCGCTCCGCCCACGCTGGCACCACCTCGCGCCTGGCTGCCGCCTCTGCCCACCACCCCCACCCTCGAGGTGAGCCTGCTCCCCGATCTTGTTTTCCCAATGCATTTATTGCCCCAATCCCCACGGCCTCATCCAACCTGATCACGACCAATGGCACCACGCAACCCTCCATTAGACCACGGCCTCTGTTGTGGTGGCGGTGGACAAGTGCTCAAGCCGCTCTTGCCCACGCGGGCCACCAGCCATACTCTCCCCCACCTCGATGCCTTTATCAGAGGTGCCGCCAAACAAAACCCCAATCTTGCAACGGTGGTTGCTTCAATCCGCAAAAACATCGATGAAGCTCGACCAGAGTTTCCCGTCATGGATTGGGCTGCCTTCCAGACGACTACCACCCAGGCTCTCAACACACTCGACCAGGCACTGGCAGCGCCCGAAGCGTTAAGCAACCGCTTGAAGCAATTGGACCCCAACACTGACAGCCTAGAATCAGTGCTCCAAGAGCTGCATGATGCCACTGCTGGGTTTGAGCTGCAGCCGGTGCTTCTCGAGCTTCAGGACATGCTGGCAGCGTGCCCCGCTCCACCCACCACGCCAGTGATCGCGCCCAAGAAGCCACCCACCGACCTAGCGGCGGCCCTGAGCAAAGTCATCGCCCTGAGCGGCGTGGAACCCAAGCGTCAAGAGCTGCTCACCAGCGCCAACAGCGACATCAAGCGCCTGGTGCTGGCCTTGATTGATGCCCTGGGTGCCGTGGCAAGAGCGGGAACCACCGACACAATTCATCGCGTGGAAACGCTACGGCAGTGCGCACAATGCGTGAATGCAAGTGCACCGCTGCCAGCCGAGACATTGCCCGAGGCCTGGGAAGAGCTGTGCCAAGCGCACAAGAAGCTGAGCCTGCTCGAGCAGAACGGTCTCGAGCAAATTGCTCAGTGGCAGCCACCTCCAGACTACGAGCATCAGAATTGGTACCTGGCGTTTGTGCACCACGAGTCGCAAGCTCTGCTGCAGCAGTTACAAGACATGATCGACTGGCAGGCCACGACACTCTCCATGTTGGACTCGTGCATGAGGCACGTGGACAGCTTGACCCAAGGCGTCGATGATGAATCGGTTGCTGCCAACGAGGAACTGACCAAGGTGGAGACTGAGGTTCAAAACAGCAGCGCAGCTCTACAGCTCGTGCCCGAAGTTCTTCGG